TGGGTGCCTTGGGAGGAATGGTTGGTGAAAGGGCTGGAAGGAGGCAGCATGTCTGGCCTTGCAGTAATAGGCCTTGGGTTACTGCTGGTAATCCTGCCTTCCCCTTGTAGGGTTAGAGGAGGTCAGAACATGTGGCCTCCTTGCCGTTTTTGCAAGTGCCTAAGGCATTTGACTGCTAACCAGAAGGCTGGCGGTTCAAACCCACCAACCACTCCTTGGAAGGAAGGTTGGGCAATCTACTTCCACAGTGATAGCGCCTTGGAAACTCTAGGAGGGGTCGCTATGAGTCAGATCCAAATTGACGGCAGTGTGTTGCATTGTTGCGTTACACATTACACTGTACAAAAAAAATGTTTTCTTTATTATTATTTCTTCTTTTAAGGACAAGAATAGTATGATGATAAAGTTAATCATGGAGCTTATAATATGAAATGAACCTAATATAATAAAACTCTATTTTAGCATTTAAGGGGAAAATAAATTCTACCTCCGCATTGTGCTTAGTTGTTATTTCCAATTTTTCTTTCTTAGCCCGATGGAGTTTCTTTCTGAGATCAGCAGTAGTATCCAAATCTGTTTCACTTTTAAGTGTTTGTTTTATATCAGATGATGCATTCTTCAATCTATAAAATCAGAGCATAATAAAATATAATTCTCATTAAGTATATTTTTAAGTATTTCTGGTATTATTACTCAGCAAGGCAGAAAAAAGGAACTGAAAATGGCAATGCTAGCATTCTCCAGCAAAAGAGCCTGACCAGATCACCCTACAGAGAATATCACAAACACAAAGTCTCACACAAAGCTTCTAATCATCCTTTAGGCCCTGGTTATTAAATATAAGGAACCCTGGTGCACATTGGTTAAGCACTCAGCTGTTAACCAAAAGGTTGGAAGTTTGAACTCACCAGCTGCTTTGTAAGAGAAAGATGGGGCAGTCTGCTTCCATAAAGATTATGGCCTTGGAAACCCCATGCAGCAGTTTGACTCTATCCTATAGGGTCACTATGAGTGGGAATCATCTCAATAGCATTAGATTTTACTATTAAATATGAGCAGAGAGCAAAGGATCACCCAAAACTTAAGAAGCATGTAATATAAAAGACAGAGACTAAAAATAATCAAACGGGGGGAAAGAGACCTCAAAGACTATTCAGGGAGAAAACAACTTTAGGGGAAAAAAGAGGGAAAACTAACATTAATATACTTAGGAACATAGGAAAGGATAATAACATCCATTTAAAAAAAAAAAAAAAGTACCATAAAAAAAATCAAACATCCAGAGAAAAACAATGAAAAAAAAAAAACCTCTTGGAAATAAAAAAGACAATATAAGAAATGAAAACCTAAAGAAATGAAGAATCTCCCAGAAAGTAAAGTAGAGAGAGAAAAAAAGAGATGAAAAATAAAAAACAGGAAAAAAAAATCAAAGATCCAACATCTAAATAAAAACAGCTGCAGAATAAGAAAATAAAAATGTGTAACAAAAAATAGTCTTATTTTGCAAGCACTATTCTAAAGCATAGGAAGGAAAAATAGGTCATCCACTGCTCAAAGAAATGGCCAGCAAAAACCCTATGAAAAGCAGTGAAACACTCTCTAATATATTACTAGAACACTTTAAGAATAGCCCTGAAACACTGTCCAATACAGTGTCAGAAGATGAGCCCCTCAGGTTGGAAGGCACTCAAAATATGACTGGGAAAGAGCTGCTTCCTCAGAGTAGAGCCAACCATAATGATGTGGATTGAGTAAAACTTTTGGGACCCCCATTTATTGATGTGGCACATCTCAAGATGAGAAAAAACAGCTGCAAACGTCCATTAATAATCAGAACATGGAATGTACAAAATATGAATCTAGGAAAATTGGAAGTTGTCAAAAGTGAAATATAATGCATAAAGATCAATATCATAGGCATTAGAGAGCTGTAATGAACTGGTTTTAACCGTTTTGAATCAGACGGTCATAAGATCTACTATGCCTAGAATGACAAATTGAAGAATGGTGTGGTATTCACCATCACAAAGAAGGTATCAAGATCTGTCCTGAAGTACAATGCTGTCAGTGATAGGATAATATCCATATACCCACAAAGAAGACAAGTTAATACTACTATATTCAAATTTACACACCAACCACTAAAGCCAAAGATGAAAAAATTAAAGATTTTTACCAACTTCTGCAGTCTGAAATTGACCAAACATGCAATCAAGATGTGCTAATGATGACTGGAATGCAAAAGTTGGAAACAAAGAAGAATCACCAGTAGTTGGAAAATACAGCCTTGGTGATGGAAATGACTCTGGAGATCACAGGACAGAATTTTGCAAGACCAACGACTTATTCACTGCAAATACCTTTTTTCAACACCACAAACGGTGGCTATACACGTGGACTTCACCAGATGGAGTAAACAGGAATCAGATGTACTACATCTGTGTCAAGAGGCAATGGAGAAGCTCAATATCTGCAGCCAAACAAGGCCAGGAGCTGACTGTGGAACAGACCATCAACTGCTTATATGCAAGTTCAAATTGAAGCTGAAGACAATTAAAACAAGTCCACAAGAACCATAGTCGCAGGGGACATCAAACTCAATTGGCATAACATACTATACAAAACGTTGTTCCACCTACTACTTTGGCAAGTAGCGACTAGAACCTTAAAAGCTAGGAAGCTGCCATCTAGATGCAACAACGGGTCTCTCCTCGTCAAGAAGAAAGAAGAAAA